GTTTGCTATTGGCTGATGATGATTAAACCAGATCGTTCCAAACGATTATGCTTATTTAACATAAAAAAATAAAATCTATTGCACTATAATTGCCTCATTTTGACCCCTCTCTATTTTGTAACAAGCCCCTTCGGGCTTTATGAGGGTTCCTTTTTGTCTTGCTTTTATTCTTGTCTATTAATATTGTATATGAATTTGTTTTTTTACGAAATAAGGAATTTTTGTATTTGTATTTGTATAATGAGGCTTTACAACAAGCTAGAGTTACAAGAATGCTTTCGGTTTTATTTCATAACCTATAAGAAGATTATAAATATATATACGGTAACTGATGCTGAACAACAATAATTTTGTGAGGGTATTAACTAACGACAACATTATTTTACAATAGGAGTTTTAATGTAATATCTAACCTAGAAAACATGCATTTACCTGTATTACGATTTAGTCGTAGGAATGATTTTCTTCATTCACTGTAATTAAGAGGACTATCTTGTGGGAATAAAAGTCATTGTTTTAAGATGAAATGTTCCAATAAAAACGATACGTCTTTTTCTCAGCACTAGCATAATGCTGTCAATTTCAACGATCTCATGTTCAAAGACACGGATCCAGAGATGTCTCAAATGGGTGTGGGGGGGGGGGGGAAGCATAAGTGATTGAGACTTCCCTTTTTGTTTTCTAGACGTCAAAATAAAAGGGGGGAGGAGGACCGCGGCCTGCCCGGCCGTCACTAAATCCACCCCTGTGTTCATGCCATGGTCAAAACAAACAAATCGCGCCACAATCTAAATCCGCCACTGATATTAATGTAGATTACGTCATACTGAATCGGGAAATGTGTTAAATACGAACTTATGCATGCACAGTCGTTTCATATTGCACTCTCCGCCTTCAATGAAAATCATGCACTTAGTGCTACACCATTGAATTACAGCCTGGGTTCATTGAATTTATGCACATTTCGTCTTGTTTACATTTCACGCTATAACAATATCATTCAGCTAAAAAGTGTGCAAATGTGATCTTATATGACTATCATTATTATGCCTACGATATCGGCAGTTAGGCTAATGATACCATTGGTTAAAAAGTCAATTTAGAGTACCACGGAAAGTTAATCCATGTTTTCAATTGTATTTCCTGACAAAAAGGCCTATCAATTTTCATTAATTTTTGTAATAGTAATTCTAATATTAAGAAAATGATAATACGAATAAAAGTTTTTGATTAATTGAAAGGTAAGAGCAGCAGCAACAACAATAATGATGATTATGACGACGATAATGTTGTTGATAATGATGTTGATAATGATGATGATGATGATGATGATTAATCCATGTTTTTCAATTTTATTTCCTGACAAAGCCCTAAGCTATAAAGAAAAGTGAAAATACGAAAAATACTTATTGATTAGTTGAAATTGAAAGGTAACAATTGCAACATCAACGACGACGACATTGATAATAATAAAAAATAATAATAAAAATAATGTGAATAACAGCAACATTATCATCAATAACAAGCAGCAACGCTGCGAGATGAGACACTTGAATTGTTTACTTACTGCAACCTTCCGTTACATCATATTATTATACTTATTGCCAGTCACTAATAAATAATCCGATTGATCGTATGATCAACTGACCAATCAACCGATAGATCAATCAATCAATCAACCAAATAGCTAATCTCTGGAATCTTATGGATAATTTGCTGTAATGTGTTCCCGCTATCTCGTGCAACAGAGCTATTGGATTATAAAGATGGAAAACAAGTGTCCACAACAGACTTGAAATAAGAGTGAATTTGCAGAATCTTTGATGCCGGAAACCTATATGTAGGTGAGCAAAGGCGATGTAAAATGTTAGGCTGGATCCAAGGGTACAAGTTCAAGGTGAGTTAGGCCTACAGTAGAGTAGGAAGGGGGAGAAGAAACTCCTGGTAAGTTTCGGAAATTTAAGCATTATGCGTATAATCAATTTAAACACTCTCATTGAACATTAGGGCCGACGATTTTAAAACAACGTCACAAAATATCACACTCTGCTGTGACCCACTATAACCAAATGCGGCGCATGTCTCAACAAATTAAAATGACATTATAATAGAGATAGTTCTGCTTGGTAATCAGAAGTCAAAAGTTAAAAATGCGTACAAAATTTGTACAAATTGGACAACAAATGTCAAAGATATGATAATTTATACAATTTTCGGACCATCATGAATATAAGATAGTCAATGCATAGAAATTTTAGCTGATTTGAAGGCTTTCGTTTTTGAAGACAAATGCATGGTTTTGCCAGAGTCGGTCAATTCTATAATTCTAATTTCGTAATAACGCGTAACAATTGAGGAGCGAGCATGCTTCCTTGGGGCAGTCCATTCAAGAAAATGAAAAGCAGAATGATACTATGAAGACAGAAATCACTGGTGTGGAGTCCTCAATTTAGAACATTTTAATATTAAACGGTCATTTTAATGCTAAAAAGGTCATAAATTTTTAAATACCATTTGGAAGTTCACTCAATTCATTAGTAGCGCAATATAAAACATGTTCTTTTAACGTGCATATGATTCTAGGGCGGTTCATCTGAAGTATTGACTTTTTGTACACTGTGAATGCAAATGGAAGTAGTTTTTCTCATAAATATAAAGAATCGTTGCCTTTTTAACCTGTAATTATTTTACTGATGTGAATAAATTGAATAAAATGTTGACAATGCATAGAATGGCAGTGATGAATAATTGAGAGAGCAGAATCCACTTTTCTACTGAGAACACATTTACTGTACATCAAAACTAGATCAATTCAAAGTTTATCTTTGAAATAAAATCTACATGAAGGCTTCTTTATTGACTATTGAATAATGTTTAATAATGTTAATACACACACACTGTGAGGATACATTTAAATGGAACACCACTTTTATAAAATTTACAAGAATCTGCATGGAAAGACAATTACTTCGCATAATCATATGTCTCACAACACATCATTCAACAATGTTTTAAACTTAAAGATGTATTGTCCCATGCAAAAAAAAAAAAAAAAAAAAAAAAAATCCATAAAAATTATTTTGAAATTAGCTCATTTTGAAGTAGCATAAAAATTTAACATAGAAAACAGTGTATTTAAAAAATGTTTAGTTTTACCCATAAGGTTACACTTTCAGTGTCCAGTCACCATTCACTGGAAGTGTTTTATTATTTGTATTATCATTAACCAGTATAAAAATCAGGAAATACATTTTTTAATTTCAATAATTTCTATGCTCATGTTAATAATTTATATGTTGCTGCAAAATAAGAATTAATTTTAAAATTATTTTTTTACGAATTTTTTTTGGTCATTTTCAGGTGGCAATACACCTAATAAAAATATCTAATATAATAATGTATCTAGTTAAAAAAATGTTTGTGTTTGTTATGTACTTTCATTATTTATATATTTTATCCTTTTGATGTACAGTATATAGCTTTTACAACCATTTCTTGCTATGTAAAACTTTAAGATATATTATATAATCAACAAAAGTCATAGCAATCTTATAAAAATGATTACGAATGTAACAGTCACATCATAAATTTAACCATTTTAGAGCAATTGTCTATTAATCAGAGAAAACTTCCATTTTACGTGAATCATAGATCATAATCAAAGGTGAAACAACATCCAGCTTAAGATTCAAAAGTTAATAAACGATCATGATTTTTACCATCAATAATGTACAATTGCTAATTTACTACAGCTGTCTAATTTACTTTCCACAAATATTGGAGAAATTAGCCTTTTTAAAGACCTAACTCATGCCAGAAACTCAGGGCCTAGGACCCAGGCAAGACTGTTTACAGTGTGCCCTAAATTTCTGTATTCATTGTCAAGTACAAGTAGCGAATTTTGGTAGAAGTACAATCACGCTTCTGCTTTCAGATGTTTAGTAGTGGATTTATAACAACCAATCATTACCTAGTACAAATTAATGTTTGCACCACTGAGTTGAATTAAGTGGGACCTTCTATACTCGATAAAACATTGTTATGAGACCATGCAGATTCAGATTGTTTCGACTTAAAGATTTCAGATTCTGTTTCAGATGTTTAGTAGTGGATTTATAATAACAACCAATCATTACCTAGTACAAATTAATGTTTGCACCACTGAGTTGAATTAAGTGGGACCTTCTATACTCGATAAAACATTGTTATGAGACCATGCAGATTCTGATTGTTTCGACTTGAAGATTTCAGATTCTGCTTTCAGGTGTTTATTAGTAGATTTATAATAATAACCAATCCTTACCTAGTACAAATTAATGTTTGCACCACCGAGTTGAATTAAGTGGGACCTTCTATACTTGATAAAACATTGTTATGAGACCATGCAGAATCAGATTGTTTCGGCTTTAAGAAAAAACTTTTGGTACTGGTACGGGCATTTAAAATGCGCCTCTTCCTTGAGGTTATAAAGCGCAGTTCTTTTCCCTGGTCATTGGGTCCACATGCTTTAAGTGTTGCTGCTGGTAATCAGTGCAGGAGCAGGCAACCCCACCAGGTTCCCATCTATACTCCTGGCTGGAGAAAAGCAATGCAGATAAAGCGCCTTGCTCAGGGACACAAGCAAAATGCACACCGAGGAATTGAAACCCCGATCTCGAGGTTGGGAAACCAAACCGCTCCTGCTGTGCCAAACTGCTTCATAAGCATTTGCTCCGTTACAGGAATTGAAAACAGTTACAGTCATAGGCGTAGATCCCAGGGGGATGGGGGATATATCCCCCAATATTTGACAAGGGGGGATGGTCCATTGTATCATCCCCCACAATATTTTGACTATGTATGGGATAAAATGGAGCTTTACACACTTCAAAAGACTGTCACAAAATTAATTTGCAATGTCTTATGCGCTTACAAAGATGAAAATTAGCATAATGTATTAATGTTGATAACAAAATTATTTTATCTGGTACCAATCTAAGCTCTTCTTTCCGTAGATGTTAGATGTGCTTGCAAAGCAAGCCACATTTTCACACTGAAGGGTGTGTACGACATCAGTAATTTTATGTCAATTCCCAAAATTTTCAATCATCCCCCCAAATGAAAAATACTTTTCTACGCCACTGACAGTTACAGTTTCTAAAAAGGTGTAACTCTCAGTGTCTCAAAAATAAATAAATAATAAGAACTTTGCAGCACCGGTGTACTTTGCATCTTTAGTGAATACTGTACATGTATTCATTTTAGATTTTTTTGAATTACTGCAAGAATTATCTCAGATGGGTCAAAACTCTTCTTGGAATTTCTATGTTGTAAAAAGAGCATCAATAAAATTAATGTCAAATGCTAGTATTTTCGTAAGTACTTAATGCATTGCTATCAGGATCTGTTGTAAGTATTCATAAAATATGACATAAAGACATGTTTGAAACATTAACCTTGACATTTTCTATATATTGTACTGTTTTATCAAGTCAGATGCGATATCATAATCATTGAAATCCCTTATCTAGTAAATAACCCTTATCTGTTATATGCTGCTATAGTCTTGAAATATGACAAGGAAAAGCTACAGAATGCATACACTGAATTAAGCCCAGTTAGCTTTAAAGACAGGCCTTCAGAGACAAAAATAGCATTTGGTATGTTGTACAACTGATTTTCTAAGACACAACAAGGGTGTTTGACAAAAAAACTTAGGAATTAATGGGATACAGATCTCTGAATAAAAAAAAAAAAACTGGGTGAAAATGTGGAAAAAAGGGTGATTAGGCCCTCTCTTTTCCCCAGTTTTTAAATATTTAAAAATTTGTATCTCATTAATTGTTCCCAAGTTTTATGTCAAATACCACTTTTATGTCTTAGAAAAATGAGTTGTACAGGTAGGCACAACATATCAAGTAATGATTTTCCTCTGGGGCCTGGCTTTAACATTAGCAGAGAAAGAATAAAACAAACATGATTGGTTTTTTGTGACCTGAATTTACACTTAGTCATGACACCTTCACTAAACTACAATAGTCACATGTAAACACATATATCTGGATATAATTGAATAGTTTGCATCAAAGTAATTCCAGTTAATAGAGTATTTATAATCCAGTTAACTGGATTAAATTTTGTTGTCAATTAAGCAGTTGACTTCAAACAAAAAAGATATCAGTCAGGTGTTACCGTACTGTGTTTGTCATCCCTTTCTTTCCTGAATATAATCATTGCACTCTGGAATATTTGTATGTTGCATTGGTAAACGTGGTCTAGGTAGGCAGGGGGAGGCTGGCAATGCATACGACAATACAATTGAGCAAACTGTCTTTGTATTTCAATGCCAACTATATGCACTGAAGATGGGAAGAGAGAGAAAAAAAATACATAACTATAATATGAAATAGAAGAAAAAGAATATATAAATAAATAAATAAATATATGTAAAATGAACAAGCATAATATATAAAACAGAAAAAAATAACATATAAATAAATAAGTATATGTAAACAAAAAAAATATGCTATCTATAAATCAGGAAATTAATCAAATAGATACCTGCATTTTGAATAAAAAAATTTTTTTTAAATTTTGCAATTCCTTTTTTCTGTTTATTTTTGTACTGTTTTGTGATTATCTACTACAAAGCTTTACTGGTTTAACATAACATATTTATTAGTTTTGGTAGGCCTACTTTAATTGTGGTCTCCAAGAGCATCCAATAGAAAATCATTGTTAAAAGTGATGCTTGATTTACGGTGTCTGTAATTTCATTTGCTGATGTTTGGATACCCTAACAGATATGAGGTGGCCAACAGTTAGTGTGTTATATTTTATAGTGTTTCAAATATAATATTGAATTGTGTGTTTCATCTGGTTTCATAAAAAATGTTCTGTGGTATAAATTGTACTGACCAGATGAAGCCCATGCTGTATCTTGTTTATATTGAGGCTTCAGTCATCAACTTCAATTGTAGACTCTAACAGGTTTATAAGCTCATCCATTTGAGGGGTCATTGTTGCTATAGAAACGCTCCCACTACTTAAACTACGTGTATGGCCTTCTGCACCCTCTGGTCTGGTACACTAGAAGGTGGAAAATATAAAATCAATGATATCATAAATAACAATAATGACATTAATAATTATTATAGTAACATTAATAAACAATCATATTTTAAAAGGAATTCAGTGAAAAAAACTGTACTTTGATTATAGTAACTTTATATTTATATTTGTTTTTATAACATAATGTCATTTTGATGAAATCAAGCAAATAATATTTTACTGGCTAAATGTCAGTAAAGTTGCTGTGTGCTTCTGATAGACTCTTGCAGTAATTCCATGACCAACAATGCAAGCTTAAAGTGTTTAGAAACACAATCATATCAACTGTATTTATTTGATTGTAAATATATCCCACAGACTTTGTTACCCTTGAGTTACTATCTAACATAAAAATTCATACAGTTAAGCTTTCTATACTCAATTTTTGCCTTTGTAGAATACTGTACCCAACATGGCTGTTGTTTATCTACTATTTACATATATTCCCAGTTTCCTGATTTAGTCTGAAGGCCTTTGATATTTGGGGTATGGCAAATGGTTTTGAGTATCCAGGTATTTTCTCAAAACATAAATAGAACATTTACATCATACACACTAATCTATTATTCTGCTATGGTTTTTCAGTTCACCCTCCCATTCGAAACCACCTTTGGGCCTTCAAAATTTAGGGTGGCCTTGGGGTATGGTCTCCAGATTGAGGGTTAGCTTAGCCTCGATAGATAGAAGATTGTTATTTGGTTTTTGAAAAAGTGTTCTCGAATTAGAGGGGTCTCGGAATCAGAGGGATGCACTGTATTTCTATTCCGGGGAGCTCACTTGCATACCAACCAAACCGCAGCCACTTCAAGACATGAGACACTTGTGCTACCTATTTTACTGAAAATTCTTATGGACTTGAACTACCATTTACCCAAAAATCACACTGCGCTCTAAAAAATGACAGGTATTAAATGTGACTCAATAGTGCCAGAGAGGGCGCAATATTTACTGCTTCCTGATGGCAAAAAGTGTTCTGTCTGGTCGCTATCTTGTGGCTGTACCAAAGGTAGGCTTAGCAAAGGGGCTTACCGGCTTAGCACCCAGTCTAGCTTGAAATTCCCGCTAACACCGTGCGCAAAATTGTGACGTTTTTGCACAAGATGGGCCAGGGACTTCAACTACAAATTTCACCCCGGTTATTTCTCACACTTGTGCTACGAAGTCCTTGCAAGTATACGGCATGAATGCTGCAACTCCACCCATATTTCCCACACTTTTTCTATCAAGCCCTCGAAAATGTACCCCATAAATGAGGAGAACGAGTTTTGTCTCTTATACACATCTAGATGTGTATAAGAGACAGCACTACCTTCAATCTATTATTCAGTTTTGATTAAGGATAATTTCACTCAAAATTTTTTAACACCAAATGCTCAAAAAAACAAACCTGTACAAGACTATACTACTTTCGTCAAAATACAAAACTAAGCAAAGCTAAAAGTGTGCATAAAAGAAACTCAAAGACATGGCATCAATATGCCACAAAGTTTCAGTTATTGACAAGTTGATTAAAATGTGTTGGAAAAAGAATATTTTAAAAGCTTACAAGATTAATTGTAAGTCCCCATTTCTGTATAAATTTGGTCTTTTGACACATTCTATATAAATTGATAAAGATAAGTTTCTTCACTTGTTGTAAGTCAGTACCACAGTGCCATAGGGCATATGTATTACTTGTAAGTTCCCACTTCTGTATAAATTTGGTCTTTTGACACATTGTATATAAATTGATAAAGATCAGTTTTATTCACTTGCTGTAAGTCAGCAACACAGCGCCATAGGGCATATACTTTGTAAAGATGCGTGTATGTATTATATGTTATGTATGTGATGTACAGTATATGTATGCATGATAAACTTCATTAAAGGTCTATATTACTACTAGTATCAATAGCACTTGCTTCAGTATCTTTGCACTTTTGTAAATGAATCTATAGTTCTGAATGAACACATTATCCAGAGCCATTATTCCAATTTGATGGATGCATATAATTTTCCATTATCAAGAGCATAACAGATAATTTTGGGTGGATTTTTTTTTCCATCAAGATATCGGTCAATATAAAGCAGATTGGCTTTCAAAGTACCCTAACATCTGCTGTGTTCAATTCAATCAATAAGACTTTCAGATACAGTACCTTCGGCAATATTTTTACCAACTTAGACTTTGAAAAGTACTGTTATTATGTACAAATAGCCTGTGCAATTACTGTAAGTATAATTATTATTAGAAAGACAAACTATGAGGACTTGTTCTTAGTAAACATGACTAATGAGTGGAAATGTACTGTAGAATGATTAGAGAACATTTATTTCCGTAGTTGTGAAAGTTTTGGTAGTATGGGAAATGCTGAACACGAGTAACTGATACCGGTATTATAGAAATTGGGGAAAAGCCATGATCAGAGAACATGCTAATTACTGGTATGCTGTGAGATAACAACGAATGTAAACTATCCGTAAACAATCAGTACACTAATGGATAATTAGTGCAAAAAGAAGCGATTATTACAAAAAAAAAAAAAAAAAAAATTTTTGATTACTGTATGAAAAATGATTACAATACAAGATTTACAGTATGCCGGTAAGTGAATCAGATACTGAAAATTTTTTACTCATCATAAAAATTTATTTTATGAAAATTGCTTTCCTTGGGAAGATATAATATGTAGCTAAAACTAAATCAGCCTCAATTCTTTAAAATTTAATCAAACTGCAAAGGGACAATCAACAACCAAGTTTATATTTAGAGACTTGTGCTAGGATGGTGCCAGCAAGGGACAGAGAGAACTTAGGCTGCCTATTGGACAGGCTAATCCCTCGTCAGGCACAACATGTCAGACCAAACAAATATAGAAAATGTTTTACAAGTAATTTTCCAAAGATAATACATGTTAAACCTTTCAAAACAACTAAAAAATGACAAAAAATTGTTGAATATTTTAGCACCAGAAGCATATCCCCTTGAGCCCCCCCACCCACCAGACTTTCGATCCTGCATCCTGCTGGTCTATCTTCATCATCTATATTAATATGACTTTCATATGCTTTGCTTCTCATGTTTTTTTCGCCTACACAAACTACCCTACTGTGCTCCTAATCTCTTCTTAGTTTTTCTGTCAAACATGGTTAAAATGTTCTGATGGAAGACAAACACACTGAATAGATGAACTTCACTCTGTTAACTGCTTGGAGAAAGTATGAGAGCATTCCACACATTGCTTTAATGCAGCAAACTGTCCGTAAAATACTGTAATATCCTTTCTAGTTTGCTTGGGCCACTGTCTCTTTTGATATGTATCTTCTGAGTACTGGTCATCCGTGTATGTATGGTAATAATTGAGGATTTGTATAGAACATCAACAATTTAGCTAATGAATAATAACATGAAATAAATTAAAAATCAAATCTAAATATGAAAATAATATTAATAATAAATAAATGTGCGAGCTATTTGTGCAATGTGTCTTACAATTTCTCATTTTGCTGATTATAATAAAGACATTTTTTTATCTAGTATAGATTCAAGATCAAGATTCAAGATTTCTTTTATTTATCATATGTTTACAAGTTCCAATTTGTGAATGTTTTCATTCATCCGTTTAGTATTAAATTGTATTTAAATCAAAAACTGGAACTTACTATTAGGACAAAAAAATGTGTTGCCCTCCACGACCAACCAAAATTTTCCAAAAAATCTGGTTGGTATTTAAAAAAAAAATTGGTTCAAAGGTCTTCCATTCACTTAAGTACAAATTCAAGAAATACCACTTCCGAAATTGACATTAAAAACATAAAATCTAAAACAGACATGTATTTTTACCAAAATTGTGCCATAGATGCACAGCGTAAAATCGGTCGAATAGAAGGCATAATTTTGAGAACCATGCAACACCGAATCTCTAGCGCTGAGCTGTGAAGCCACGAACAGATCTAGGCCTAACCTATTCTTTACTGTGAATCAAACATCATCTTATTCATTACCGATGGTATGTTGGACAATAATAATAATCTTTCTTTAAATTGATTTATTTTACTTAAATTTATTTCAATATACACTTGGTTAGTGTCCGACCGACTGACCGACGATCTCGACTTTTTTCCATTTAAGGGCAACACAACAATCTTTTTTTTGGCCTTATTAACATTGAGTGTCGTTTCATCCAGCTTCTTCTTCAGGCAACTGACCAATTGGGTTGGTCACAAGTTAATAAAACACATGAAATTCATAGTGGTACACACACCCATAATTGTACACTGAATTTTGAAAGAAGTTAGCCTATACTGTATGCACTCAAGTAACTTGCCGGTGCTTTCACCGTTTTCCTCCAATTTTTTTAAATATTTAGAGTTTACTTTTATCTTGATTCAGGTACTTCTTTCAGTTAAATAAAGTGGTTGCATTTTGGAATGACTTCATTTTAACTCGCTAAGCAAATACTGGCGTTTATAGAACCCTATAATTCCAATGTGTTATGGCTTATGACAATAAAGAATATACTCTCCCTGGGAGAGGAGAACGAGTTTCAGTAGAATGGATCTAATTGACTAGTAATAGAACTCTTGATAACATGCAATATAAAACCAATGTAACATAATTAATATGATTTATTATTATAAATAATAATAATAACCATATATTAATTAAGTTAATTTTTTCATTAATTCCTTTACAATATGTAGTGCTTGTATATTCTAAATAAATCAATATTTGTTGCTTTGCAAGGAAGACTATAATGTAGGCATTGTGGAACTATAATCCGATGCACTATATACCTTTATAACAAATAGAAATTATCATACTCTCCCATGGAGAGGAGCATGTGATACAGGTAGCATGGATCTATACTAATAATATAACTCTTGATAATATGCACTATAAGGCCAACATAATTATTGATTTTTTTTAATCAATAACAATAATAACCATAAATGATCAATTTTATTTTTTTTTATTTTTTAAGTATGTATGTTTGTAT